GTGAAGTTTAAGTGGCCAATCAGTGTATGTGTGTAGTCAAATTCATTATCAATAAGAAAAATGTAAAATTTTGAAAAGGTGTGATAAAATTTTGTCTAATAAATTGCCTCCTCAAAAACAAGTAGACTAACTGCCCCAAAACTGTACATTTAGAGGGTATATGGTTAAATGGAGGCCGCATTGCTGGTGGGTGTCTCAGTGAGTCCAATAATCTGGTTACAATTTGGCAACAGAAGAAGTTTTTAAAGACTTTCGGTCCCTTTGATCCAGCATTTCCTTTTATTTAGCAGAATTTATCCTGAGGAAATAATTAGAGAGGTGCAAAATTATGTACAAGGCAGTTTATTATATATTCAACATATTGATGCATATTTAATAAATGCATATTCATCATATGTTATTTATAATAATGTTGTGTTACTAGACTTACAATCGGGGCTTTGTCACCATATGATGGATGACTAAGTAGCCAAGAACAAAATCCTTTTGAGGAAGAGTGTTTGTTGACAATGGGAAATGTTGACAACACGTACAATGTTAACATTAGTCGTCTTTGAGTGGTGTCGTTATTTTGCTATTAATAACCTTCTGACACCATGAAAAGCTATTCTACATAGGTTACAGGATATATGCAACGCTGTGATTTTATTTCTGAAGAAATGAAATGGCCATGAAGAAGCAGTTGAAAAGCCTAAGGAACACCTCAAGGTCTGCCTTTGAAAAATGACATGGGCTTTACAATAAAATACTGAGTTTTCCATACGTAGGCGTTTTGTTTGACTTTGAAAAACTTTCTTAGCAGGATAGTGTCAAAACACTGAAGACATTGCTCCAGTTTGCTTTTACTTTATACCCAACCATTAATATGTATGTGTCACTTTATGAAAATGCAATTTATAAATATTTAAAATTGAAGTATAGATAATCTAATTTTAAAAGTGAAAGGGAAACTAGGGATGAACTAGTCTCACTTTCTCATTTAATAGGTAAGGAATCCAAGATCTGCAGAGATTAATTAGTTAATATCCTTAACATATAAACAGGTTCTACAAATAATAAGAAAAAGACAAAGATCATAATGGGCAAATGAGCAATAAATATGAAAAAGCAAATTGCAAGTGAAGTAATGCAAGTGGCCAATAAACATGTAAAAAATACTCAACCTCAGGAGTAACAGGGAAATGTAAATTTTTAAAAAAACTGATGTCATTCTTAATTTTGCTTAACAAATGAGCCCCTCCCAAAACAAGCAAACAAGAAACAGTGCAAAGATCACATGGCCGAAAACATTGGGGTAACAACTGAAAGCTCTTGTGTATATTTGCAAGCATCCCTTCCCTGGTACCAAGGATACACCCAATAATGCCTTGCTAAAGAAAAAGACAAACACCAAATACAGAAATGAAATGAACAGACGAGTCACAAAGAAGAAATCCAAGTTAGATAAATGAATGAGGAATATTTTATTCACATTAAAGGATTCATAATAGTGTGACTTAAAATTACTGGGGGCCCAGTTTCAACGAAAACATCAAATACTTTGCTAACTTTTTGCCATATCCTAACTTTCTAAAGCTAGGTTCAGTGCAAACATAACAGATTTTTGTTTCTGTCTCTTCTGGGACAGTTAATTTGAGATCTTAGTTTCCTGTTCAGCCAAGGGTGAAAGCCTCTAACTTTGGTATTTAAAACTTAGGTATTCATATCTTAGAACAAATTTCCCTATGCCGTGAATTATGGTTTTATTCAAAATAGAGCTCATTATGATGTCATAAATGTCAACACAATTTCCTTCAGATTACCTAGGAAATGGTACTTAATTGCAGATTAATAAAATATGGTATTATGGCACTTTTTTTACTTTCCTCTTTAAGAATCAGATATCTCAATGAGTGATATCATACAGTCCTAATTTCAAATTAGGTGGGGTAAAGAAATGAGAAAATTTTGGCAAGATCTGACTCCATTGTAACTGATATTAACTCCAGAAAATAAATAATTTTTCATTTGTGTTAGTGCAAAATACATAAATTTAATAAGCATTGTGGCTGAAAGAGCCTACAAAAACATACTTCCTTTATCTGAAATGCTGGCCTGCTTCATTTTAGGAAAATAGATTCAATGTTCTCAGCTCCTGCTCATTTAAAAAATGATTTTCTTTTCATAAAGGTTAATTGATTTCCTGCATTGCATAACAGTGATATTACCTACTATGTTTTTCAAAGAGAAAATGTGTTTATTTGTTCTTTAAATTATGCTCCTAGAGCAAACTCTTAGTTCTGATGGCTTACAACTTTATTATGCTCTTCATTTTGATGTTTTTTTTAAAAAAATTTATGGATAAATACTAGTTGTACATATTTATGAGAAACATGAAATTTTGATACTAGCATACAATGAGCAATGATAAAAATCAAGGTAACTAGGATATCCATTACTTCAAGCATTTATCATTTCTTTGTGTTAGGAACATCCCAATTCCACTCTTGTCTAGTTATTTTGACAATAATTATTGTTAACTATAAGTGCCCTATTGTGCTACTGAGCCCAAGCCCATAGCCAAAGAGAGGGGGGAGAGAGAGAGAGAGAGAGAGAGAGAGAGAGAGAGAGAGAGAGAGAGAGAGAGAAAGAGAGAGAAAGGGACATTGTTTTATTTTACACACAAACAAGGGTGCCTAAAGTAATGATTTTCTCATCTAAGCCCATTAACATATACTGAACATAAGTGTATGAAGAAGGTTTCTTTTGAAAGTAGAACTACGATTAGTTTCTCTACTATGAAGCAAATGCTGGAAGTGAAAACTCCCTCCTTAACTTGGAGGCCTTTGGGGTTCTAGTTCAGCCTGCGAGGCAAGCATCTGAGCTTCTGCTAGATGGGTGGGTAGAGTAGCTTGTGAGCCTAGATTCCTAGCTCAGCCTTCAAGCTGACTCAGCCTTGGGTGTTCTGCCAACAATAGGATGGGATACAGCTAGAAGACAACTTCTTGGACCACCTGGACTCAGAATGAGGGTCCACAAACTACAGGCTGTTGGCCAACGCTGACCTGCTGCCTGTCTTGTAAGTAGAGTTTTACCAAAACACAGCCAAGCCCATGTGTTTACACATAGCCTGTGGCTTTTCATGCTACAACAGCAGAATTGAGTAGTTGCGACAGACATAATGTGGGCTGCAAAGCCAGAAATATCTATTCATTGGCTCTTCAAAATAATAAAAAAAAAATGCTGGCACTTGATCCAGAGGGGCCTTGGATGCTCTATCTAGAACTAATCCCCATGGCAAGCAAAGACCATTTTATTACTCATTTTTACACTGAGCTGTGCCATTTTCATATGTCTCAAGGTATGTTCTTTGAGTCTAGAGCTTTTGGGGAGCTTTTTCAGGTGGGCACATTATCATGGTGTATAGAGCCACCCTTGCGTAGCACCTGATCTCACACTGCCCTTTATTGAAGAGGGAGACCTGGGTTTTGCAGTGTGGACACCTGTTGCCTGATGTCCGCGTGCTCACACCTGCACGTGCCTGCAAAGACGTACAGGCCATCAGTCCTTCCACTGAGATCCCACTGCTTCCAGCAAAATCTTGGAGCCTGTAGCTAAGGTTGAATGAGCCTGTCTATGACACAGAAGGTGTGAGATGAAAGAGGAGGAAAATTCGGCCTAGTTGGCAGCAGAACGGAAATAGCAGTGGGTGCATTTTGGTGCCTGTTAATGTGAAATACGCTGAAGAGAAGATGAGATGTGATTCTGAAGCCCTCACATCTTACAGGTGTGAATCATTCCAGTTTGCCCAGACACTCTGTCTGTTTGCTACACCAGGAACTTGAGCGTGGTAGGAAGAGAGGCTGGGCAATGATGCCGGGAGAGATAATGTTTATGGTCATTGAGAGGCTTCCAAACTTTCAGAAGGCTGAGGGGGCAATTTCAGTTGCTTCAGTCTCTCAGGTATACTGGAGAATGGGTTCTTGGAGGAAACGTCCTGAACATTTAATTCATCATAGTGTGGGGAGGAGACACGAACAGATTATCAAAGGTCAGGCTGCATCCACGACACACAGAGATCGATGGGGACCTGCCCTGCTGCCATGGTAACCCAAAGGATAGTCTTGGTCTTGGCGCTAGGCTGGAAGATGTATAGCCAAGGTCACAAACCAACAGCTTATGAACTGATTCCGGTCAGCAGACATATTTTGACTGGCCCATGAGTCTTTGATATTTTTTTGTAAGTTAATTGCTAACATTTAAAAATTGGGATATTTCATTTAAAATCTGGATTTCCCTCGAAAATTCAAAATTTCTGAACACACGGAATTACATTCTTTCTTGTCAGTGATTGCCTACGTTGGGGAATAGCATCCTTTCGGAAAGAACCCAAGTTCTCCAGTTTTATTTGTTTTTCTTTATACCCAACCTTTGCAGTCACTGCCTAGTTTTGTAATCTGCCCCGGCCCCTGGGCCCTTTGAGTGTGCAACCCCCACGCCATGTGTTGCACAAAGAATTTGTGCTATTGCAACCTTATATTCCTCCAGGAGTTATTTTGTCTCTCCTTAGACTCTCGCTAAGAGTTTTATAGCTCACTTGTACCTTATGGGATTTAATTATATTCCATTCTGACTCTATTGCCCAATGAAATAAACAACCCACTTTGAGGAACATACATAGATTCTGTGGTCACTAAGTATGCAGAACCATTTATTATCTTAATCTAAATGACTGTAAAGAGTACACATATTTAGTGTACAATGATGATCTTAGGATGGTTAAAGGCTAGTTTTTCACTGTGAATAATCATTTCCTCTCCATCTTTCTGGTGATGATGTCTCTCATAATTCTGCTGAAGATAGAAGCACATTTGCAGGGACGTAGCCACAGGGCTTAATAACATTCATGTGTGGGAATAACTGCTGCTAAGACTGTCACATTGGTCTTTAGGAAGCTTAAATTTCACTTCAGGTGGAACACAAATAAAGACACACAAAGAAAATTAAAAATACATAGATACCTGTCATACTGTTGGGAGTCATAGGTTAGTAATCATTCTGGATCCTTTTCTTCACTGACATCTCCTACAAAGAAAAGATACAACAGATTATAACCTGCATTTTCCATAATGTGTTGTTCCAAACAATATCATATACATTAATTAGCTTGAGGCAAGATTTGTTACTTTCTTCTCGGAACTAGGAAAACTGAAGCATAGGCAGGCTATGTGATAAGTGTGAGTTTATAAGACTTCTCAATTTTCATCTCAGGATTCCTTCTATAAATATGTTTTAAAAATAATATTTCCTTTCAAGGTCACATTTTTCCATCTCATGTTTTTAAGAAAGCTCCTAGCCCACTGGCTTGCTGTTTTCCCCAAGAGTGGCTAAGATGTATTAGCATCTTTATTCTAGATCTTTGTTTCTTAAAGTATGGTCTGTAGACCAGCAATCTCAGCATTGCCTGAGAGCTTCTTAGAAATAGAAAATTTGGGTCCCACTTTGATCAGAATCTGCATTTGGACAAGATCCCTGGGTGATCTGTGTGCAATTTAAAGTCTTAGACACACTGCTCTCAAGAACTGAATCCATATTCACACCTGCCCATTTATGACTTTTCCATAGTCAGAGCTGAACTCCTCTTCCTCACCACTACCTCAATGAAATCCAAGAGCAACAGAAAGACTTGGCCCTCAGACTGCGCAGGGAGGCCCGGTGGGCGTCAGTGACCAGAGGCACATTGACCGAGGAAGAACGCTCAAGGACGACACAAATGGACACAGGTGGCTGATAAACCCGGGTCACAGTCCTCTAGCATATTGCTGGGGATAGATTGGGAGTAGGTTTCTTTTCCTGGAGGGGGTTCTGTGTCCAGTGGTAGTGGCAGCACGTTGGCTTAAGAATAGCACCGAAGCCCAAGGCATGGGTTCAAGGGCCAATGCTGTCACTTACTGGCTGCAGGACCATGACAAGCAATTTAAAGCACTGGAATCTCCATTTCTTTGGTGTAACATGAGGAAACTAATACTTGCTCTACTTATTCCACAAGGCTGAGGTTTAAACATGATATGAGTGAAAGTGCCGGGCAATCTGTAACGTACTACGCACATGAAGCCATGGGACAGGGGAGGGACCATCTCAATGTTAAATAACTGGTTGGAGAAGAGGAAGTATGTGGGTTATGTCTACAACACAGGGTTACACATGCTATTCGTGCTGGGTCCACACTCACACTGCAGGTATGAATTCACACCTCAACCATAGTTCTTGTCTCATCCTGTGGAAATTTCATGTTTACATGGTGACTTTCCCAGTAGACTGTCACCTCTTTATGGCAGGGACTTCCCCATTTTTATATCTTCCACACTGAGCAGAGTACCAGATACAGAGTAGGTACTCAACAACATATGCTGAACAACTGAATAAAATAAAACGAATGAAGCTGATACGGCACAGTGCAAGCTACCTGAATTGGCATCTGATAGAGGAGAGGAACATCAACTACTAGGAAAATGCATTCTCACTACTGATGAGCTTTTCAAGGGCTGATAAGCCCTCTGTCCCATCTTCCTCCATCTGCCCAGCTGCATTTTGACTGAGAGGGACCAGGTTTCAATGTGCCCTAAGGTGAAAGCACAGGTCACACCCACAGTAGTGCCTTTCCTGACTCTGCTGCTCTTCTTAGGAACTATGCTGCCATTCACTGCCCCTCCCAAGCCACAGAAGCTGCCACATATTCACAGGATATTGCTCCTGAATGTTCTGGAAAGGATGGGGAACATGGATCAAGCTGGGCCAACCACAGTGCTCTACCTCTGGCCAGACTGGGTTTATTAGGTGGGCTAATAAGATGCTTATTCAGGACACTTGGAGAGAGAAAAATAAAGGGAGGGAGAGATATTATTTAGTTACTCTCTAGGGGCAGAATTGATCACAAGTTAAAACTCTAAGGCTGTTTGAGGCCATGTCTTTCAGCACCTGGACAAAGCCCATCTGAAGGTGAGAAGATCAGCCTGGCAGAGAACCCGAGGTGAAGAGGGAATGCTGTGCTTTCAGCTCTTCTCGATGCCCTGCTGTGTCCCCTTCTGCCCTCCGAGGGTTTGGCTGCTCAACCCTTCCCTGGACACCCTGAGCAACACATTTCCCTTTTTACACGAGCTGGTTTGAGTCAAGTTGCCGTCACTCGCAACCAAAAGAATCCCGACTGATAACACCTGTATTCAAATACAACATCAAGACAAACATGTCAGAATAGTTTTGTGTCCTTTTCATCATCTAAACGGTAAAGCTACAAAATCCCAGTATGTTCTTGCTATGCCATTGGTTTAAAAATATCTTCATTTTCAAAATCCCAGTCGGATAGGCATTTGAACAACAGAAAAGTATTGTGTGTGAAGCAGTAAATATCTAGGAACAGGAAAAAAAAAATCTTATTAAGAGTTTAGGAATGGTGTCATCACCACAAAGTTTAGTACTGATTTTTCTGTTTAGTATTATCTTTCTTCAGCCATAGTATGATTTAGTGCTCTAGTATTTTAGTATTATTATATTATAGCAATAATATTACTAATACTATTATAGTAGCATTAATAGTATACAAATATTACTATTACCGTAGTACTTTAGTATTGGTTATTACTTAGTATTTAGTACTATTCTCCTTCAATGAGCTCTAGAGTTTTAAATGTGATTCCAGGGAAACTTCTAACAATCCTCTGGAGTAGGCAGGTGTCCCAGGGCCTCGTTTTCTGGTCACCCTATAACACACCATGGGTGTCAACAGAGTGCTCTGTCCTGAGGAGGGGAAACCCAGACATGGTCCCTTCCAGAGCCACGGCAGGAGCCTGGGGCTCACCAGCAGATCACGGGGTCAAACGGAAAAAAAAAAGTCCAAAAAAAGCTTAAAAATAAAGCAAGCCGAGTTGATTTGCCTTCCAGGAAGGAAACAAGCACAGAGAAGGGTTTTGTGGAGTAGGTCAGCAAAGAGGAAGTGTCAAGGTGTTGATGCGGTGACAGGGGTGGTTCTGCTAATGAAGGATGGATAACGACACTGTCTGGGAAGGGCTGGGTCACGTCTGTGTATCATTCATCAGAACAGGTCCCTTTATTCCCTGGTAGGGAAGAGTTTTCAGTTAGATCCTGTGAGGGTCTGCCTACCAGGGCCCTTCAAATTTGACGGTCCTTTAACAGCTTCACCAGTTCAGCACCAGTGGACGGGGAAAATGCTATTCCATTGATTCTCCCAGGCAAGTGCTACCCAAGTGGAAATGCCCATTTTACGCAGGTCAGTCATTTGTTTGGTCAGTCAGTGGAGAGGCTCTGATTGAGACCTACTCATTGTGTAGGCAATGACCTAGGTTTGTTCAAAGACAACACTGCAGCCTGTCCATAAGTGGCTTCCAATCTAACAGAGGTAGAGAAGCATGGCAAAAATAGAAATGCAAAAACGTACGCACGTTTCACCTTGCGTGTCTCTTCAGAGTAGACTGGGGACCGAGGGAAGGAGAGGTCATTTCTATCTGAGCTTACCTGGGAAGGCTTCTGAGTGGAGGCCTTTCTTTTAAAAAGGCGTTTCCCCAGGTTGTGATTTAATCTTTTGTTCTCATCTTTGCGCTCCGAAGGCCCAGGGACTACTCTGCAAGAAATGAGCCTCGTACAGAAAACCTGGGCATTTGAGTTTTAAAGCTTCACAGTGGCTGGTGGGTGGAAAGCTGGCCGCTTAGGCGGTCACGGCAGGTGGCGGCAGAGATGGAGAGAGGGCCAGGGGCTCAAGTGACATTTAGGAGGTAGAAATAGCAAGACACTGCGATGAATGCAACGAGCATTTAACACTGGGATAGACACTGTGGATGCAGGCAGGTTAAGGGGGACTCTCTGCCCTCGGGGATTTACAATCGCTTTTATAAGCTGGCTGTGAAATAGCAGCTAAAAATACAAGTCACAGATGCCATGTTCCAGGGAGCGGTGCTGAGCTTCACGCAGGCAGAGCCCTCCCTGCCCGTCCCTCCTGTTCTCAGACCAATGCTGTGTGCCTTGGGTAACGCTCATTCCTCTGGGAAGAGTGGGAAAGTGAGCACTCACCTCTCAGACACATAAAATGCATTTTTATTTTAAAAATCCAAATGAGGGGGAAGTTGTTACTGAGTACTCTGAAACTGAAAAGCAAATGAAATTATTACCAACACTTAGGAAATAGGCCCAGGGACTTTGAAGACACTGGGCTCCATGCGACCAGCTGTGAGCGGTGGCTGATATTACTAAACCAAAGGCCATCACTGGGCTGCAGGGATGGGAACATAGGATGTAGACCTGTAGCATGAGGGCCGGCCCATATGTGGGCTGCTGCATTTTAGGGGAAACATCTCACATAGAATGTCCCAGATGGTGGAAAACACATCCCAAGGAAACATTGAAGGAAATCTAGAAGAGGGAAGAGTCACATGAAACGTAGATAGTGGTCTTCCAATAATGTGAGAAGCTGTCACATGGAAGAGAGTTCAGGTGTGTCTAGTGGGCCAAGGATGGGTGAAGAGATGCAGCTGGAGACTGCTGAGCCCCTTCTGTGCTCTGAGGTCTAAAAGAGATGCATGTCTCATAATCAGGGGCAGCTGCACAGAGAAGCACACTCTCCTTACCTGGGGCTGCTTTTTGCTCTCAGGGTGTTTATCAAGCCCCCCTTGAGAAGACCAGCATCTTTACACTGCAATAAAGCAGGTGCCATATGTAAAATGGCTTTAGGGATAAGTTAAAGGCCTGCTCCATGGTCTACCTACAAATTCTCCTCTGAAGTTTCATTCTGTAGCTCAGCAGATCTCAACAATTGGGGGGTGTGGACTCCTCAAGGAATGTAATGAAAGTTACAGGAGGCCCCACCCCTTAGAAACAAGCAAATGATTTGGCATATATTTTCAGGGGGCTCACAGACAGCTTTCATAGGTAAAACTCGTTCACAGATATCACATTAAGCTTTGGCTACGACTTTGATCATTATTAAAATGCAAACATCTAATAGAAAAGACATGAGTTGATGCAAAGATAATCCAGTGAATAGAATTGCAAGGAGACACGAGAGCTGGTTTTGGTGG